TTGAAAATGAGTATAAACAAACACCGTATGTTCTGCACCTTGAATTCCTCTGCATGGTCAGTGGGTCTTTGCTTTGCCCTTTTGCCTAGGCTCTGTGTGGTTGGCAATGGGAGACAGGTGCTGAGATGCCATTTCCTCTACCTAAAATTTGATTTTGATTTGCATTTTAAAACATGCATAGCAAAAGCTGTAAAAAAAAAAAACAACAAACAAACTGAACAAACAAAAAACAAAAACCAAAGAAAAAACTCAAAACACTCCCCCCCCCCCCCCAACAAACAAAAAACCCACCGAAAAACCCCAAAACCTACCACAGAAAAAAAACAACAAAACCCAACCAATAAACCAAAACACCTCAGGACAACTAAACATTCTAAGCTTCAAATAGCAATGTTAATTCCTAATTAAGGCAAATTTTAATGGTATAGCAAACAGGTTTAAAGGGCTGCAGTTACAGATCTATTTCCAGATTCCCATGTTAGGTCTCAATCTCAGATGTTAAGTACTTTGCTTTATTTTAACAATTTAGATAGTCCTGCTGGCTTCAAATAAGATTATGTTTGTGTTTAAATCACTGACAAATCAGGCCCTTAATCTGTGTATATTAAATAAACTGCATTATGTATAAAGAAACTCTCATGACTTGAACTATTACCTCCTGTGACAACATCTGAGTTAAGTCAATGCCAATGAGATCCACAGCTTAGTGTATTTGTAAAACACAGAGCTTTATGATTCATGCAGGGCAGCACAAAAACACGTTTCTGTAGCAACAGAAATTAATTTAATGTGCAGATGTGATAATATCCTGGAATAAGAGTTCCAAATGATTATCAATGTGTGCTGTTTAACTGATTTTCCTGTAAAACTGCCACTAAGATCTGCATTAATAGTTTCACAGTATTTTATGCCACCAGATAAAATTAGTTTCAATGGGCTGTTACTGTTTAAATTGTACTTGCTTACAATGTTTCAAAAAGCCTCCTGTAATTTGCGAACACACAAGGTGCAGCTATTTTTTGTTATTTTGTTTTAGGATTCATTTTGTGGGTTATCTGAACTTTTGTCACAAATTGCAGGGTTTGGCTATAATGTTAATCTGAAAGGCTGGGCGTTTCATTTGTCTCTTGCATGGTGCAAACGGATTTTTGTGCAAGTCTTAGAATAATTTTTATCTGATCTCAGTGACAAAAGTTTTGTTTTAGAATTGTTTCATTTTACAGAAGAGTTCAGCTCCAAGAAAACATAAGCCATATTTTTCCTTAGCTTTACATAGACCCACATATTTCAGTCCCTTGACCAGAAACTCAGAATCTGAGCAACAATTTTTACATGGATAATATCCAAAGAGACTCAATTTCCTTTACTCCTTAACAGCTGAAAAAAAAGAAAAAACAAAAACCACCAGAAGTTATTCTAAATCAAAGAGATTTAATCTTGGGCTAGTCAAAACTCTCCCTACTGTGAATTATATAGGTTCACTGAGGTCTTTGAAACTGTCACAATCTTCCTATCATCACTGAGGTTTGGAACTTAGAATAACAATGATAGTGGTAGGTTAGGAGGAAATTTATGTTTCTATATCAAGAAGTGTTTTTTTTCTGCTAAAATTTAATACTGCTGGTTTGAATAAAGATCCCTGCAGCTGACCTCTGCAAATATACCACAACTACAAAGCAATTAACAAAGCATTAAGACTACACAGATTTTTTACAGTCTGTTGTTATTTGGGTATGCTTTTATCCACTACTGAACAGCCACAAACAAATAAAATCTGACAATATTAAAAAAAAAAAAAAAATACTGAAATATTTCATTTCTGCTCCATTTAATTGTGCTCATTTTTCCTTCTGTTTTTTGGTAAAACTGGGTTGATATCAGTTGTTGCTCAAGAACCCAAAATTTGTATTTGGAAAGTTTCTGCTTCCGGAATTGCAGTTGGCAGAGTTCCTGTTGTGGTGGTAAATGACAGTTCAAATAGCAGTAGTTTCTATCTTATATCCATTTGCAAAGAGGACATTCCATTTCAAAGCTATTTCTTAATAACTAAAAGTCAAGAAATGAGATATTGCAAATCCCAAGAAAATACACAAGCATAATTGAGGACCTCAATTACTGTGAAAGAGAAGATGGTACTGGAAATTCAATCACACAACAAAACAGGTATCTCTTTAGTTCCACTCTAAGGTCAGACCACCATGACCTCAGTTGCTGAAGTTTGCTAAGCTTGTAGCAAGCAGCATCTTTCAAATTATATGGCCCTTTCCTTGTGTCAGTAGAATCTATATTGCCTTTCTAAATGAAACTCTAGTCAAATTACTTCTCCTTATCCTTATAGACTCTGTTTTGTTTTTAACTCTGCAAACACATTACTGGAAGCCTGTAGACTGCTAAACCAGAAAAAGTTTCTAACCAATGGAAGTCAAAATGAAAGTGCTTGGTCCTAAGCAACGAGAAAAAACAGGGAACAGAAAGGTTGATTATCACCTATACACACTTACTATCATGTTTAAATTGAATTTAGGATGAAGGATTTTATTTTTCTTTCTTGGAAGAATAAGGGGAAAGCGAATAATGTTTACATCCAATTTTTTTTGTTTGCTTATCTTTCACACCTTGATTTTTCTTTGTAGTCCTTGCGAGTTGGGTAGGGACAGATATTTCCTTTCACTTTAATATTACTTTCACAGTCTAAAGATACTTGCTACAGTAATTAAAGATAATTTTAGACTGCATACAAAAGAGCATTAATGTATTTCTCCAATATAGGCCCTGAACACACTGTGTGTTTGCATAAAGTCACAGGTTCCAGGTGGTATTTCTATCAGATATTTCAATGGAAACTGTTCACCCCAAAATTAATCTGACATTGCTCAGATAATGACTTTACAGTAAGACTCAAGAGCAGACTGCAACAAAAGGAACACAGTATCAATCTTCGGGCTATTTGGTGCTGCAGGATTCAAAGCATGGCAAGTTCAGCATGGTGTTTTACACAGGCCCAGTTTTACCCCACTGTTTCCAGTGCAGAGTCCTAGCAGTATCCTCTGCTAGAAAAAAAAAAAAAGGAGCCCAACTATTAACAGCAATGATAATTCATTCAAATAAGACAGATCCTTCCCTTTGCCTACCAGGAAACCCTTCTCATCATCTGACTTTTGTTGAATTTTGTTAATTTTGAAATAAAAAAGTCTGTACAGCAGGGAGACGCATAAGCAACTTCGAAAGAAAGGTTTATATTGAATGCCTGCAGATTACACCAACAGGAGATACTCCCTCTCTATATAGCTGAATGTCTTTCTTGCTCTGTATTTTTCTACTACTATTCTGCCCAAGATAATATGCTCAATATATGGGCAAGTATTCAGAAATCTATATTTAGAAACCTATAACCGAACCCTTAATTTTTTTTTTTTGGAGCTTCAGGAGCAATATGGTTTAGGAGTAACTTTGCATGTGGAATATTAATGTTTTTGAGCGAATTCATGCAGAAAAGGACCAATGACTTCAAAAAACATCCACAAAAACCTGTGTAAGTGAACTATGGATTGCCATAATAATAACTGTGCAACAGAGCTGGATGATGAGCTGCAAATCCATGAGGAATGATAGCTGGAAATGCGGTGCTTCAGTTTCCATTATTGTTGGCTTTAATCTACTATGTGGTTGTTTTAGGCTAATTTCTATACCACTTTTTTTATTTGAGAGTCAGAATAGTAGAAAAAAAAATTAATGTTTAAGATGTAGCATTACAAAATTGCTATGACATGAAATCCACATATTAAGACCAAAATGGGAAAAGCTAGTTACTTTTAGGTATGCTGTCTTTTACTGGGTTTCCTTTTCACAAGAGAAAGGAAACACAAAGAAACTTATCACAAAACTACATTGCAGGCCTGAAAAGTATTACAGATCTTTGAGCTGCATAAAACCACATATGTGGTATTGAGTATAAAGAATGTAGTTACAGCTATTTAATATCATCACCATCTTTCAGCTGAATTCAAAGAAACAATACCTAACAAAATACTGTATTGCATCAGCAAAGGTCTAATCTAACATATCTTTCCTTTGCCATTAGATATGGTCTTTTAACATAATTTTCTAAAGGGTGCATATTAAAGTTTTGCTGAGTACTTCAAAGCGCTTAGGGAGTAGATTTTCTTGCAGCAACTGGACTTGAAAAGGGCAAATTCATAACATTTCACTACATAGCTGAGCAAAACCAGATACTCGGGTTGTTTCTCTTCAGCAAGGTTAACTTCAGTAAAAGGCCATACAGTGAAGTGACATAAGGGTGAGTGATAGAAGGAGATTACTTATGCCTCTTGTGACAATTCAAGTGCTACATCTCTCTTTCTACACTAGTAAAGTTGCTATTATATACCCTTTCCCCTTTAGTTAAGAGAAATGACTGCTGCTTCATGGGAATGGCAGAAGAGCGGTAGGAAACAGTAAATGTTTAAAGACATTCAGCTAGTGTCTGTCTTTGGTTAGTCATAGCTGACGGTGCTGATTCAAGATCCAGCCTTTCCTGTAGTAGGGAAAACAAAAAATGTCACTGAATTACACAGATTAATGGCTTTGCATATAGAAAGACCTCAAGTTAGGAGACTGCAACACCACTCAAGGCAACCTTGCAGTAAAGACAAACCTCTACTATCAAACAAAATTGCAAACATTTCATATCTCCAAAGGTACCTCTATTAATTGGTTTTGTTCTTGGTGCATCTACTGCATGTTTTTATTGATTCCTGATGAAAAACATTCCAATTGAGGCAGATGTTTCTTCTCAGAACTCAGGTATGATGGACCTACAGCAGCATATTGAATCTTGATTATCTTCAAAACGGTGGAAAAGAACAAACTGATGAAAATATTTCCCTATAATTCTGTAAGCTACCAAACATCAGCAGTTCTTGGCTTTTGCTAAGATCAATGACTCTTAATGAGTAAAGTCTAAGTGAGATAAACTGAAGTTAAGTATTTACATTTGGGGTGATACATTCTCCTCACAGTTTGGCAGCCATGCCTGCAATGAAGAGTACTTTTGAAATAAAGATAAAGCACTGCACTCTTTTCACTAGATGCAGTAAGATTTGACAGGACTTCAGAAGAAGAGGAGAATCTTTAAGTTCAGAGAAAAAATAAGTATGTAAGGGTGCACTGTGAATCCAAGCTGGTTTAGAGCCAGTCAGCCCTGTGTGAAATTTTTATAGAATAGTGTGCTCCTATCCATGTTCTAAGCCAATATATATTAGAGAACTAACAATGCCAGCAAGTCCTGTCTTCCCTCCATCAGTGTCCTATTCCAGTTAAAATACATAGTAACAAAGGTGCTGCTCATCATTTATCTCAGCTCTCCATAGCTGAGATAGCTTTTGCAAATTTATTATGACAGTAGTCAGCAGAGCCTCTGGCTGTAAGTTTAAAGACAATGGGCATGATTTGAAAAGATTTTATACTTCTTGAGTTCGTATCTAAAACAGAGCTTGTTTTCAGTTTTGCTTTGTACTTCTCAGGACTCAAGCCTCTTGAATAGCCAAGTGAAATAACTGTCATAGAAAGAAAAGTTTTGATGTAAGAAAACATGAAATTTGTGCTTCTAGAACATCAAGGAATATGCTTCAACCTTCTACTCACTTTTGGATTTCAAGGTTGCTTTGCACACTTCACAGCAGCTTGCTTTGCACAAGTCTGGCTATTACTTCAAGGATTGTCTCAGTCAAAATAGCTTACCAATAACATGTATTGTTAGTTTAATCCTTTCTTCTCTTGACAAACTACTTGAAAGTCACCATAAATGAGCTTGCTCTTCACCACTGCCACAGAAAAATCTTTTTCAGAGTTTTCTGGTTCTTAACAGTGTTTGTTTAGGCACTCTTCAGCTTGTTGGTTCACTGGCTTGTGCTGTTATTTTTATGGGCTTATGTGGATATACAACTATTTTTGCTCAAGGATGCTGAGTGGACATATCATGTATTCAAAGCAGGAAACTAGTTACATTTCTGTCTCTTTGTTTCCTGAGGTTGAGGAGGAGATGAGGTTAATAGGATATGAGGAAAATGGCTATACTTGCAGCCTGCCATGTTTTAAACAAATTTTAATCATGGAAACACTTTTGATTTGACAAGCAAGATGGCTTGGAAATAGATTAAAACTGTCACTATTATCCTTTGTTTCTTTCATCTGGCTTTTGTTTGAGTTCAAGTGGCAGTTCTAGTAGAGCTGAGGGGCTTAGTGTGCATCACTCAAAAATGTTAAACAGAACATTTTGTGTGTCCTCTCCATAGTAGAAAATAAGAGTTTAAAAACAAAAGCAACCTAATAGAAGCAGAAGCTGATTAGTCTTTAATTCTCTAACATAAAACTACTTTTTTACAGCTTTCTATATAATGCAGAAGATTGTGAATGGTTTTATAAGACATCATTTCTTACAAATTGTTATAATTCAATAAGGTTTTTTAAATGGTTTTGTCGGAGTTTTTTGTTTGTTTGTGGGCTTTTTGTTTTTCCTTTTTTTTTTTTTTTGTATTTTCCAGAAGTGCAGACATTGCCAGTTAAAAGAAAAAACATTTCATGTAATAAGATTTATTTAGTACACATCATTTCTTCCTGCTGTCAACTGGAATTGACTGCCACAGGAAAGCACTGAAAGGAAAATATGCTCTATACGGACTTCTAAATTTGGAAAATCTGCATCCTCCCTTCAGTACAGATGCTCTGAGTCTTAACAATTCAGAGTGCTCTCCTGAAACAGCCTGTTCTCTCATCCTTTTCACAAACACAAAGGGAGACTCAAACCCACCAATTACCCGAGATGCCCTCTTGTTTGTTTCTCATTCCGTGTTCTCCAAAATCTCAAGAACATATTAGTCACTTAATAAATGGGCATCAGTGGTCTTTACATGAAATGGCAGCAAGACTGGATTAGTAGCAGTTTTCATTTTTTTGATGGAATTAGCAGTGCAAGATCCTTCATTACTAAATGCTGGGTATGTGAGTGTCAATGGTACAGTGACAGTGTTTCAAGATACAGTGCCTTCAGTTATTTTTCAAACTGCTCCAAGCTGTATTCTCATCCTCTCCCATTCTCCTGTGCAAAAGAGTTGTTACCCACTATAGTCTAAACCTTGGATACAAAATAACTGAGTAGTACTGTATTTGAGGGGCGGTGAGTGCTGCCATAGGCTCTGTCCAGGGCATTGACACCATCAACACACAGTAAGTGCCAATGTTGTCAAACACTTTATCTATAATCATGCTCTTCCATATGGCATGCGAGTCTCTACAGTGACAGCACAGTTGGTGCAGGAAAACCTTGACACTGTGTAAATACTGTTCAGCAATACACAAAACACCGGTGTTTTAGCAATATTTCTAACCGTAAATCCAAACCAGAGCACTGTACAGGCCATTACGGAGAAAGGTAGCTCAATCCCAGCTACTCCCAATATACTCGAGTTGCTTGGCTTTTTTAGTGGCGGCTCAGATACACAATTTCTGTGCTTAGAGGAAGGCCAGTGTCACTACTTCTACTATAGCAAAGTATACACATTAAAAACTTTTTCAGTACATCAAAACCACTGCTACAGCTCCATTCCAAAGAGAAAGAGCAAGCAGAGTTAATTTTCTCTAAGGACATAAGAATACTAACAGTTTGCAAGCAGAAGCTTCCCCAAGCACTTCTAAACTCGGAGTGTAAGAAGAGTAAGCAATAGTTGCAACTGTATGTATTAATGTAGATTAGTTTCCTGCAGTTATTCAGAAAAGGAATTAAGGCTGACAAGCTGCCACCCAACACTGAGAGACTATCCACAGGGAAGTTTTAGCAGAAATGGATTTCTAGAAACACAGGGCCTCCCACCAGCTTTTGGCCTCCCACCCGCTGACTTTAGCCTCTATCCACAGCCTCCAACCCCTTTTGTCCTCTAGTTTATTTCTGTCTGTGACCCGCTTCTTTCCCCCACCCTTTTTCAGCCTCTATTTTATTTTGGGACTCCAATGACTTTTACCTTCTACTTTATTTCCAGCTTCACACAAACTTTCACCCCTTTTGCTACTCTTTTCTAGTCTTCCTCCTCCTCTGAGCCTCTGCTTTATTTTGTGCCTCCTTTGGACCCCCACTTTAAGACCTCTTACCCTTTTTGACCTTGACTTTTTTTCTGACCTCTCACATCCTTTCAGTCTTCCAAACCTTTCAGCCTGTATTTTACTACTAGGGTCCAATCCCATTTTGACCTACCAAACACTTCAACCTTTATTTCTAGATCTCCTACCCACCTTAATTTATTTCTGGTCTCGCATGACCTTTCTTCTTCCCACCCTCTTTCAGTCACAGGCTGAAAGGTGGTGGGAGGCCTGAATTAAAGGCTAAGAGGCATGGGAGGCTCTAAGTGAGTGGGATGACAGAAATTTTTCATACCAGTAATATTAGCTTTAAAAAGCCATTTAGTCCATAGGTAGTTTTCTGAATATGGAAAAGCACACCAGTGGTTGGCATAAACAAAACAATGTCACTGGTACCTTTCTCATGGCAAGAACAGCCTGAAACCTCCTGACCAACACAGACCTACTAATACCTTATTCCAGACATAAATCAGAAGCCTAACAACAGCAGGAACTAGCAACTAGCACCTTTCTCTTCTGCTAAAAGGCCCCTGTCTGCACTCATATTAGTCAGTCCAGATTTTTAGCAGCGGGAATAGCAAATGTTAGCAGTGACCCATGTTCTGTGCTGACCGTTCAGTTGCAAATGTTTTGTTTTAACATTCATTTATTCAATATGCTGACTCTCAAACATACTGGAATTTCTGCTGTAGCTTCAAGGGATCTTGAAAATAGCATTCCTCTTCTTTAGATCAGTACGGCAATAAATAAAAAATGACTGATAGAAGTAGCACAAGGCTTATTTTCATTTCATCTTAAAAAAAAACAAAACAAAAAAATCCCTATTTTTCAAAAGCCCCAGGTAAAAAATAGTCACTTAAAAAAAGCAGATGAAAAAAAAACCCTCAAAACAGAACCAAAATCAACATATAAACATATGCAAGATTATCACGCTATGATCAAGTTTCTATAACTACAGAGTCTGAGATGCTTTCTGCAATTTTCTCAAAATGATATTGTCTCTTGCAACTAAATAACTTATAAACCCTATTTTTATTTAAATAGACTGCAGGTAAATGAGTAGGAGCTTCTTTGTTTTAGTCATTAAATTTAATTTATCTAATGTTTTTATGAACCTGTTTCTGTCAGTACAAGGTACTGACAATTTAAAAGGGGGACACAGACCTTTCTTCCTTTTGAGGACTAATTTATATCGCCAAGGGCAATTGCAGTCCACCTTTAAAAATGGTTTGTACTCCCAGTATTGATGAAAAAGCCATATATCAGATACACATTGGATTTCTCATTTCACTGCTCTCTCAGAATAGTCAAAAATCAATTTGTCTTACTAGGTCAAATTCTACTGTTTTGAATGAATTTGCATTTATCTTAAAGGGAATGCTATGTGCTAAAGACCAAAATTTAACCTTATTTATTACCTATTTCTCACTCTCTCATCCCCAGTGCTATGAATAGTAAACTTTCTGTTAGTGTTAACTTGTTTAGGAATTACTACATCAGTTTGCAATACATTATTTTTCATGGAGGAAATTTGAAAGACTGATTTTATACCACTGGAGTAAAAAAGAAACTTTGTTATTAAAAGCAACAAGTGCAAGAGCAAGGCTAAAGTCTCCTCTGAGGTACACTAGGGCTGGGAGTCCAGGGACGTGCTTTCTCCCTTAAAGATGCTTGAATGAGTAGCATCTACTAAGCATGTGTGACTGGGTTGTAAGAATTTGATCATCCCCTCAGCCTTTATCAAAGTTGTATTACTTTACAGTTAGAATTAAACTTGGCTAGGGATGTTAAGGATAACAGGAAGAGATTCTATAGGTATGTAGTGAATAAAAAACAGACTAGGGATAACATAGGCCCCCTCAGGAAGCTCTCGGGAGAACTGGCTACACAGGATTTGGAGAA